CCAGGGCCACCACAGGAAGAGGCAGGAGGTGGCCAGGGCCACCAAGGCCACAATGGGAAGGACCAGGGCCACCACCAGGAAGGACAGGGCCACCACAGGAAGGGCAGGGCCACAAGAGGAAGGGCCAGGAGGTGGCCAGGGCCACCAAGGGGACGAGCAGGGCCACCAAGGCCACCACCAGGAATGGTCAGGGCCACCAAGAGGATGAGCAGGGCCACCATAGGAAGAGGCAGGAGGTGGCCAGGGCCACCAAGGCCATCATGGGGATGAGCAGGGCCACCACCGGGACAGGCAGGGCCACCACAAATAGGGTCAGGAGGTAGCCAGGGCCACCAAGGCCACCAAGGGGATGAGCAGGGCCACCACCAGGATGGCCAGGGCCACCACACAAGGGCCAAGAGGTGGCCAGGGCCACCAAGGCCACCAAGGAGATGAGCAGGGCCACCACCAGGACGGGCAGGGCTACCACAGGAAGGGTCAGGAGGTGGCCAGGGCCACCAAGGCCACCATGGGAATGAGCAGGGCCACCACCAGGATGGACAGGGCCACCAAGGCCACCATGGAAATGAGCAGGGCCAACAAGGGTATGAGCAGGGCCACCACCAGGATGAGCAGGGCCACCAAAGGAAGGGTCAGGAGGTGTCCAGGGCCACCAAGGCCACCATGGGAGTGAGCAGGGCCACCAAGAGGATGGGCAGGGCCACCAGCAGGATGGCCAGGGCCACCACAGGAAGGGTCAGGAGGTGGCCAGGGCCACCACGGCCACCCCAGGACCACTATGCGGATGGCCAGGAGCCACCAAGGCCACCATGGGAAGGACCAGGGCTACCAGAGGAAGAGCCAGGAGGTGGCCAGGGCCACCAAGGCCACCATGGGAAGGACCAGGGCTACCAGAGGAAGAGCCAGGAGGTGGCCAGGGCCACCAAGGCCACCATGGGAGTGAGCAGGGCCACCAAGAGGATGGGCAGGGCCACCAGCAGGATGGCCAGGGCCACCACAGGAAGGGTCAGGAGGTGGCCAGGGCCACCACGGCCACCCCAGGACCACTATGAGGATGGCCAGGAGCCACCAAGGCCACCATGGGAAGGACCAGGGCTACCAGAGGAAGAGGCAGGAGGTGGCCAGGGCCACCACGGCCACCCCAGGACCACTATGCGGATGGCCAGGAGCCACCAAGGCCACCATGGGAAGGACCAGGGCCACCAAGGGGATGAGCAGGGCCACCATCAGGATTAGCAGGGCCACTACAGGAAGGGTCAGGGCCACCAAGGCCACCAAGAGGATGAGCAGGGCCACCATGGGGATGAGCAGGGCCACCACCAGGAACAGTCAGGGCCACCAAGGCCACCATGGGAGTGAGTAGCGCCACCACCAGGACGGTCAGGGCCACCACAGGAGGGGTCAGGAGGTGGCCAGGGCCACCAAGGCCACCATGGGAGTGAGCAGGGCCACCAAGGGGATGAGCAGGGCCACCACCAGGAACAGTCAGGGCCACCAAGGCCACCATGAGAGTGAGTAGGGCCACCAAGGGGATGAGCAGGGCCACCAGAGGAAGGGCCAGGAAGTGGCCAGGGCCACCAGGGCCACCATGGGGATGAGCAGGAGGAAGGGCAGGGCCACCACAGGAAGAGGCAGGAGGGGGGCAGGGCCACCAAGGGGATGAGCAGGGCCACCAGAGGAAGGGCCAGGAAGTGGCCAGCGCCACCAGGGCCACCATGGGGATGAGCAGGGCCACCAAGGGGATGAGCAGGGCCACCAGAGGAAGGGCAGGGCCACCAGAGGAAGGGCCAGGAAGTGGCCAGCGCCACCAGGGCCACCATGGGGATGAGCAGGGCCACCACAGGAAGAGGCAGGAGGTGGCCAGGGCCACCAAGGCCACCAAGAGGATGAGCAGGGTCACCACAGGAAGAGGCAGGAGGTGGCCAGGGCCACCAAGGCCACCCCAGGGGCCACTATGGAGATGGCCGGGGGCCACTACTAGGAACAGTCAGGGCCACCACAAGAGGAACCAGGAGGTGGCCAGGGCCACCAAGGCCACCACAGGCGCTGCCACAGGGGCCACCACAGAGGCCACCACCAGGAACAGCCAGGGCCACCACAGGAAGAGGCAGGAAGTGGCCAGGGCCACCAAGGCCACCGTGGCCACCACAGGGACAGCTGCTGCTGGGGCCACCAAGGCCACCACTGAGGTGGCCAAGGCCACTGCCAGGACCACCAAAGGGACCCCCAGGGCCACCAAGAGCCTGGTCAGGGCCACCATGGGGACAGTCACAGGCAGGGCCACCAAGGTGACCACAGGGACAACCAGGGCTACCAAGACCACTGAGGGAGTGGCCAGGGCCAGCATGGTGGCCACCAGGGCCACCACGGGGACGGCCACCAGCAGGGCCACTCCATCAAGGAGGTGGCCACTAGGAGGGACAGGGCCACCATGGGGCTAGGGCCACCATAGGGACAGTCGTGGCCACCACAGGGACGGCTGTGGCCACCATGTGGTCAGGGCCACCATAGGGACAGTCGTGGCCACCATGGGGACAATCAGGGCCACCACAGGGATGGTCAGGGCCACCACAGGCCCAGGGCCACCGTGGGGACAGTCAGGGCCACCACAGGGATGGTCAGGGCCATCATGGATTCAGGGCCACTATAGGGACGGTTGTGGCCACCACGGGGATGGTCAGGGCCACCATGGGGTCATGGCCACCATGGGGTCGGTTGTGGCCACCACAGGGACGGTTGTGGCCACCATGGAGTCATGGCCACCACGGGGACGGTTGTGGCCACCACAGGGTCGGTTGTGGCCACCATGGGGTCAGGGCCACCACGGGGTCGGTCGTGGCCACCATGGGGTCGTGGCTACCATGGGGTCAGTTATGGCCACCACGGAGTCAGGGCCACTGTGAGGTCAGGGCCACCATAGGGACAGTCGTGGCCACCACAGGGTCAGTCGTGGCCACCATGGGGTCAGGGCCACCATGGGGACAGTCAGGGCCACCACAGGGATGGTCAGGGCCACCACGGGGATGGTCATGGCCACCAAAGGGTCAGTCGTGGCCACCACGGAGTCAGGGCCACTGTGGGGTCAGGGCCACCACAGGGTCAGTTGTGGCCACCACAGGGACGGTTGTGGCCACCATAAGGATGGTCAGGGCCACCACAGGGATGGTCAGGGCCATCAGAGGGACGGTCAGGGCCACCATGGGGTCAGGGCCACCACAGGGATGGTCAGGGCCACCACAGGGATGGTCAGGGCCACCACAAGGTCAGTTGTGGCCACCATGGATTCAGGGCCACCACAGGGACAGTCAGGGCCACCATAAGGATGGTCAGGGCCACCATGGGGTTGTGGCCACCACAGGGATGGTCGTGGCCACCACGGGGTTGTGGCCACCAGAGGGTCGGTTGTGGCCACCATGGGATCAGGGCCACCACGGGGTCATGGCCACCACAGGGTCAGTTGTGGCCACCACAGGGACGGTTGTGGCCACCATAAGGATGGTCAGGGCCACCACAGGGATGGTCAGGGCCACCACGGGGTCGGTTGTGGCCACCACAGGGTCGGTCGTGGCCACCACGGGGTCAGTTGTGGCCACCATGGGGTCAGGGCCACCACGGGGTCATGGCCACCACAGGGTCGGTTGTGGCCACCACGGGGTCGTTTGTGGCCACCACGGGGTTGTGGCCACCACAGGGATGGTTGTGGCCACCA